GCCGTAAATTCATTCTTTGCAAATATAGGGAAAGAACTTGCAAATAAAATTAAATCAAATTTAGAATCTATTGACTCACCACCTAACTTCTTGCACTCTCCTTCACATTCTATGGTCATCCTCGAAATCGATGAAGATGAAGTACATGATGCTATTATGAGCCTAAGAAATGACAGTGCTGTCGGGTGGGATGGCATACCAGCCCAAATTTTTAAATCAAACCCAGTTCTTACACCTATAATTACTCACCTATGTAACTTGGCGATATCCACTGGGAAGTTTCCTGTCGCCCTGAAAAGGGCAATTGTACATCCCATCTATAAAAGTGGGGACAGACGCAATGTCACAAATTACCGCCCAATTTCTGTCCTGCCCGCTCTGTCTAAAGTATTTGAGCGTATCCTAAATCGCTATCTAGTTCACTTTCTTGAATCAAATAGCTTAATCTCCAAAAATCAATTTGGCTTTAGAAGGGGCAGGTCTACCCAGGATGCTGTTGCTTCCCTGGTAGAGCATGTAGTCACCGAACTCGACGAAGGCAGGAATTGTCTGGGTATTTTCCTGGACCTTTCTAAGCTTCGAACTGTCTCTGTCCCAATACTGTTAAATAAGTTGGAAATGCTGGGTATCAGGGGTCGTATCCTGGAAATATTTGCTGATTACTTATCAGGTCGGACGCAGTGCACAAAGATAGGCTCTTTTGTCAGCAAACCCGAAGCCCTTGAATTTGGAGTTCCTCAGGGTAGCATTTTAGGGCCCACGTTATTCCTGACCTACGTAAATGAGCTCTGTGACTTACCTCTATCTGATTGCCGTATTGTTACTTATGCTGATGACACGGTCCTTGTTGTTTCTGGGAATAACTGGTCCGATACAATTAAGATGGCAGAGAATAATTTTAGAATGGTTATGACTTGGCTAAATCGCAATTTTCTAACCTTAAATATAGATAAGACTAAATTAATAACCTTTTCTAAAAGACCCTCTGCACAACCACCAAGCGAGTGCTTCGATATGCGTGCTCACAATTGCTCCAGTGGGACTTTTCACTGTAATTGCCCAAAATTGCAAGGAAACCATACCATTAAATACTTGGGTATTCAAGTGGATAATTGTTTGAACTGGTATAGTCAAGTAGAATCCGTTGCAGGTCGGTTACGTAACCTAATCTACATCTTTAAAACATTACGTAGTTCCGCTGATGCAGATATCCTGTCATCTGTGTACACCGCCCTGTGTGAGTCAATCATATCATATTGTATCTCGATATGGGGTTGTGCCTCTAAGACTACCTTCATTAAAGTTGAGCGCGCACAGAGGGCAATGTTAAAGGTTATGCATAGGCGGCCTTGGAGATACCCGACCGCACAACTTTATAAGGATTGTAATGTACCTACAGTTAGGCAACTTTACATCCTTCGCTCAATTTTGCATCTACACTCTACTGTACCTCCAAATAGTTCTTTCACGCCAAGGAGACGTCAAAAAGCAGCATGTCCTGTCAAAACATGTAGGACTTCTTTTGCTAAAAAGCAATTATCCTCTTCAAGCTCGCGGTTATACAATAAACTCGATAAAACGTTAAAGATAAATAAGTTGAACGCCTACGAAGTTAAAAAAAAGGTAATTTCGTACCTTAATTAATTAAATTACAGTGCCACTGAAGCTTTAATATCCTAAACCCTACAAACTGTATACATACACATGAACACACACGCACACGCTCGTGCACACACACACACACACACACACACACACTACCCATGCCATACATTATCATCACTATACTGTTTTACTTTTTATTTTTTTTTTTATTTTTATTTTTTTTTTGTATTTTCTTTTTCCTTAACTGCCTGCTCTTCAAATGCTCGTAATAATGTAATCACCAATTAAATCAACTCGCTATGCTGTTATATAGAATACGTTTTAAGGAGCCGAACCACTGACTTTCATAACACAGGTTATCCTAGCATGAAAGTCAGGGGATCAACTTATCCTAAATATATAAGTCCCTTATGCTAGCCATTTTGTCACAATTAATCTGCGATAACATTGTCTTATGTTTAAGGCTTTATTTCTCAATAAATTATTATTATTATTACTATGACATGCGTTTTATTGCATAATTTTTACGCAAAAGTAAAACGTCTAGGGAACTGTACAATCCTCCAGGTACTACTGATACATACTATGTTAATGTCAACTCGTCTCTCAAGGTTCTTGGAGACAAAACATAAATACAGGACTTGTACCCGTACAGGCGATATCACAAAGAGCTACAAACAACGCTACCCAAATAAGAGAATGGTTCATCAATTATTAACTCTACTACTTCAAAGTGTTTGTGTAGTTAAAGATACATCAACAACTTACATCAAAACTGTCTTTCGTAGCAAGTATGGACTTTCAATCATACATGTTGCTCATAAAGGCTGCCAATGTATCATAGAGCATCCATATAGGTTTATAGACCTCGTTTTCCCCGGCACCAGATTTAAGAGAGGCGACGACTTTTTTATGATTTAGAAGAAAATCTTCAAGCATAGTCTTTTTGTTTTTCAATTCGGCCACTGGTAAAGGCTTATTACATTACACAATTTATCGGACCCTGTCTGTCGGAGGCCCTGCCTACCAGGCAGGGCGCTGCTTATTACACTTGCGCTAGAAATCGCTTCCTGCCTCAGTCGTTACTCGAACGTTGAAACGTTTGCACGTCAGTATTATGGCGCCGACTTTATCTAAACGTCCAAAAATTGCTTTAGTGGTAACTTTGGCTGTCAGTACCGTGCAAGGCCAAGCTAAAAAAAGGAAGGAAAGGAAAATGTGGATGAAAAAATATTTGCTCCTCAGAGAAATACTACCGAATATGCAAATAGTCAGCGTTTTGGACCCAACAGACCTACGAAACTATTTAAAATTAGGTGAAAACCAATTCGATGAGTTATTAGGCTTAGTAACTCCTTTAAAGGAAAAAAAACCTTTTTTAAAAACAGCGTGGGTGCAAAACAAAGGTTAGTTATTACGATTGTTGTGCGTGCATGCGTGCATGCGTGCGCGCGTGAGTGCGCGTGCGTGTGTGCGTTTGCGTGAGCGTGTGTGCGTGTGTGCGTGTGTGTGTGTGCGTATGTGCGCGTGTGCGTGTATGCGTGTGTGCGTGTGTGCGCGTGTCTATACGTGCGTGCGTGCGTGCAAGTTCCTATACGTACTAATGCATCGGTTACAGATTCATGAGTTTTAAATAGTACAAAATTTGATCAAAAGATGACCAATAATGATTTGAAATTGCCTTTGCCCTCAAAATTACCAGGTACTGACACAGTTGTATCATATTTGTTTCTAGAAGATAATAAAAATCTCATGAAACCATTTTCCTTAAAAATTATAATCTACGAACAACGAATTTTTTAATAACTGTTTATCGAGATCCAGGCGTGTAGTCGATCGTCACGTTTTAGTGTGCTTCGTATAACTTTAAATCTGGAATTGGAGAACGTTGATGCAATAGTGTTAGCATGTTGTGCTCTGCACAATTATTAGTCAAAAAACGAGTCAAACTATATTGTCCAGAAGAATCTTGATCGAGAAAAGGTAAAGAAAACAGCATTTCATCAGGGTTGCTGGAGAACAACCATCCACTCCTATACAACACAGAAGTAATAGCCAAAGAAATGATGAGGCAGCTCTTGTACGAAACAAATTTATAAGATATTTTATATCCGAAGGTAGAGTCGAATTTCAAGATAGGATGTTAAATATAGTTCCAACATAGGATTAAATGTTAACATTTTATTGGATAATTATTAAATGAACCTTTGTGAAGATGTATCTATGTAACATTACTTAATTATAATACTTAAATAAATAAATACAATACAATTCAATATTATTAAACATTGACATCTTTATCTTACCTCATCATCTAAAAAAAATTGCACTTGACGGCAAGATTCCGTTCTAGATCCAAGAAAACTAAACGCCTCGAAATATCATAGAGATGGTTTGTACACATCCTCTGCTCCAGCACATGTTTGTTTCGATGACTATACCTTAAATTAAATTGTTATCAATGTTGTGGATTTACTAACAACGCTTAACACGTTATAAAAGTAGCTTCACTTGAATTGACTATATATATTATTCACTGTAAAAAACTTAGGTAGGTACAGCTTGCCAAAAAGGAGTATGACGTGGTGACGAGTGGTATTTAAATAAATAGAAACCTACGATCTTAACACTACTTTGCCGACGCGTGCTAGATTTTCAGCAACTAAAGAGATCAATATAATATAATATAAATAAAGAGCAATATAAATGAGACAGTGGCGCCCTTATAGTTTTCAAACTCTATTTGCCAAGCTATACTTGTACAGTCGACTTAAGAACCCACTCCTTTCTAGTGTTTCTCAAAAGGAAAAAAACGGAACTTCGTTGTCCGTCTGTCTGTCAGTGTGTCAAGACTCTTTTTCTAAGGAAGAAGTAGAAGTGTCAAGTTGAAATTAGTATATTTTATACGTAGGCTTAAGATCAATTGGAGATCCAAAAAATCAAGCTTCTAAGTCAACGCAGTAAAAAAGTACGACCATATTATATGCGACATATTTTCGATACTTGCAAATAAATGAAAACCTATAGGACTTCCGTTCACATAGAATCACGAAATTTGGCAAAAAGCAAGGTCTCACAACAAAAGTAAAGGGAAAAGACAGAAAATTTTTAATTTGTAGTTTTATCACATATAAAAAAATTGTGATGACATTTTTACGTGAATTGGAGAATTGACCGTGCTTTATATTAATATGTGAGAGAACATGTTTTTCAACTGCAATGCTGTTTGTTCTTGGGGTAAATTCTTTGCAACTACAGAACCCTTCATTATCCGTAGTCTGACATGCACTTGGCTGGTTTTGAAAAATAAGATATACATAAGTATATTTATTTTTAAGTACTATATTATTACACCTGTAGCTAATACGTACCCACTATACCTAGCACTATCTAAACTATCTGACCTTTTTTAATTCTTTCATATAGGTTGTACGCATGTAATCCAGTTTTCTCTTTAATATTTTTACTGTTGCCTTTTCGTCAACGTTTCCATAAGTTTGTAGAAGTACTTTAAAGCCTTCGCTTCTTTCTTCCTTCTTGGAATAGTCCTTGTGCTCTCCCCTCCAAAGATAAGGCATATCTTTGTAGATGTCGATGACATTGAGAAGGACATCTTTTTCTATAGCGCATGACATTGTTACGAACAATGATTTCGAAAGTAAATCGACACACTAGAACTTTAAAGAAACAGACGTGTAGACTCTGCGCATGCGGCCACACAACTGAACTCCCTGTCTCTTATTACACTACACGATCCACAGCGCGGCAGGGAAGCAGGGCGGTCGAAACCACTCTATCGCCCTGTTTAGGAACCCTGATTCTCTGTTTCATATTACACTACCCTGTCCCTGTGGGCAGTGTAGTGTTATGAGAAACAGGAATAAATCTTGTGAAGTAATAAGCCTTGTACTTGGATTTCATTAGCGATACTTGTCCACGCATCTTTAACCCGTAATAAGTGGAGTTGAATGTATATTCTACCCAAAGTTATCTAATTATTATTATTTTTTTTAATAGAAAAGGGGGCAAACCAGCATGCGGCTCACCTGGTGCTAAGTAACGACCGCCGCCCATGATCAACCGCAACCCCAGGGGAATTTCAGGTGCGTTGCCGGCCCTTTAGAAAGGAGTAAGCTCTTTTCTTGAAGGTCCCCAGGTCGTATCGGTCCGGAAAAATCCGGTGGTAAACTATTCCACAGAGAGGTTGTACGCGGAAGAAACTCCTTTTGAAACGTATAGTGGTGGACCGCCAAGCATCCAGATGATGTGGATGGTATCGGAAAGTTTGCCGCGTTGTGAGTGGTGTGTATGTATGTGTGTGTGTGTGTGTGTGTGTGTGTGTGTGTGTGTGTGTGTGTGTGTGTGCGCGTGTGTGTGTGTGCGTGTGTGTGTGTGTGTGTGTGTGTGTGTGTGTGTGTGTGTGCGTGTGCGCATGTGTGTGTGTGTGTGTGTGTGTGTGCGCGTGTGCGCATGTGTGTGTGTGTGTGTGTATGTGAGTGCGTGCGTGGTGTGCGTGTGCGTGCGTGGCGTGCGTGGTGCGTGCGTGCGTGGTGCGTGTGGTGTGTGCGTGTGCGTGTGCGTGTGCGCGTGCGTGTGCGTGTGCGTGTGCGAGTGCGAGTGCGTGTGCGTGTGCGTGTGCGTGTGCGAGTGCGTGTGCGTGTGCGTGTGCGTGTGCGTGTGCGTGTGCGTGTGCGTGTGCGTGTGCGTGTGCGTGTGCGTGTGCGTGTGCGTGTGCGTGTGCGTGCGCGTGCGCGTGCGCGTGCGTGCTTGAGTGCGTGCGTGTATGCGTGCGTGCGTGCGTGCGTGCGTGCGTGCGTGCGTGCGTGCATGCTTGCGTGCGTGCGCGTGCGTGCGTACGTGTGTGCGTGCGTGCGTGCGTGCGTGCGTGCGTGGTGTGTGCGTGCGTCGTCCGTGCGTGCGTGCGTGCGTGCGTGTGTGTGTGTGTGTGTGTGTGTGTGTGTGTGTGTGTGTGTGTGTGTGTGTGTGTGTGTGTGTGTGTGTGTGTGTGTGAGTGTGTGTGTGTGTGTGTGTGATATTAAACAGCAATATATCTATATAAAAATGAAATAAAAAACGGGGTGAAAATTGGAGTTCTAAAGAAAATTTTGTGGAACATCGAAATTTATTTTATTAATAGTAACGCTGGGTATCGTTCTTATTTCTATTAAAGCGAATGTTACTATTAATGTAGAAAATATTACGTACCATCACTTATTGCTCAATTAGCACATATTATAGAGGATAAGTAGATGAAAACGTCAGTAAATGTGCCAAAAAAAAAGTGAGTACCTAATGATTATAATATTATATATATATCAAGACAATTACGTTAATATCGAATGAAACGACGAAACGAAAACAATGCTAACCTCAATCAAAGCTATACCGAAATTGATGTTAGTACCATAGTTAAACAAGGAATTTCAGAAGTTTATCTTTAGTATCACATATAATCCTTGAGCTAGCGATTCTTATAATAATGTTTTTTTTTAGTTCATACTTTAAACTTAATACTATCTCCAGTACCATATTTAGTCCGTGTTTTTGAATAAAGCCGTTAAGTTTTAAGTTTTAAATACATCGTCAATTGTTCAGCAATTCAATCTACACGTAAAACCATATATACGCATAGTAAAAGTTAGTATGGATAAGAAGAATGTATAATTCATACTTCGGCGTAAGAGAGTCTACTATCTCATATCGAACAGACTATATGAAACAGAAGATGGACAGCATCTTACTGATAAATGTTCAATAAAAATAAAATAACTGAGGTTGGCAAGCTCGTACCTACAACAATAAATCTTACAACAAACCTATGGTTTGTTGCTTAATTAAATGCGGTTTCGAACTTAAGGAATCGAATATATTAACTGAAATAGAAATTGCTTTTGAAAATTTATTGCTACTAAATCTATCTAGTCTGTATGCTGCTAACTTTTTGTAGTAGATTTTGAATATAAGTCATTGAAATTAAATGTATTGAATTGAAATGAATTTCATTTAATGCGTGGAATATTGACAAAAAAGGCCTGGAGCTCCGCCGACCGTCTGGTGGTGTTGGTAACTAATAAATCATGTAATTCCTGCACACATATACGAATAGGTATCCCAAAGAATCTTTTATATATTTTAAATCTTTTTACTAGTAACGCATTTCAACTTAGTATTTGAGTGTGACAACGCATTATACATAGCACTGAAAATTTCGGCAATCAAGGAAGTGACACAACATTACTATTTAAAAATGTATTTGGTGCTTTTCGAAGTATTCTCCGCGAAATTTGACACATTTTTCCATACGATGGAACCAATCATTGAAGCAACCATTCCATTCGGAAGTTGGGGTCTCCAAAATGGCCGTTTTGTAGGCGTCCACAGCTCCTTCAGGTGATGAAAATCTCTGTCCATGCAATTCATTCTTTATTTTAGGGAAAGTATACAAATATTAGGGCTTAGGTCGGGGCTGTACGGCGGATGGTCTAATAATTCTATGTTTTCTTGCTCTAAAAACTTTTTGTTCTCTGTGCGGTGTGAGAACTCGCATTGTCGTGATGGAAGATGATGCGGCGATTGCAGTTCTCTTTACGGAGTTCAGAAACGACCTGTGGCAAATAAATGCTAGCATACCATTCTGCATTAACCATTCTTTGTCCCCCAAGAGGAATAGTCGTAACATGGCCGGTTTTGGAGACAAACGTGGCCACCATTTTTTTTTGCAACACTCCGTGAACGAACAATTGTTGTTGGCTTATACTCGTTCTCGAACACCCAAACTCGTGACTGATTTTTTGTTTCAGGTTCGTACGCGTATATCCAGGATTCGTCACCTGATACGATGGTGTGTACAGCATTTGAGGATCCTGCGTGGAATCTTTTGAGAGCTCTGACGCACCAAGTAACGCCAGCCGCTTTTTGCTCTTCACAGAGCGAATGTGGTATCCATCGGGAAAACAACTTTTTTACACCTAATTGTTCATACAAGATTATTTGTATTTGACTCATGCCAATGTCTAAAGTTGCTTGAATTTCGCGGTATGTCACATGTCGATCTTTCTCAATCAGCTTACGCACAGCATCAACGTTTTCTTGGGTGACTGCAGTTTTTGGACGACCTTGACGGGGATCATCACTGAGATTGACACGTCCACGTTGAAATTCAGCAAACCAGCGATAAATTGTGGTTTTAGAGGGGGCTTCATCACCAAATGCAGAAATCATCCGGTCAATACACTGTTTTTGTGTTAAACCACTTTGTAAGTCATAATAAATCATCGCTCTTGAATTGTCTCGAGTCAATTCCATTTTATCAACAACTAAACAAGTTTGACAAAACCTTGTGACAAGACCGAGATTCTTTTTTTAAATAAATAAATGGTATTCGATTTTTAAAACCAAGGAGTTTTCAATTAAAAAGATTTTAATATGACAGGAACAGTGGAAATATTCCATTCCCGATACTTTTAGTGCAGTCTATACGTATTTCGATTCTTAATCTAAAATATAATCGTGTATTAGTACAATTTGTCCACCTAATGGTGAATTAATGCCGATAATGGATAATTTTCAATAGATGGTATTAAGAGCTGGTTTGTCACCCTTAATCCATTAGTGAAAATTTTTCTCTTTAAAGTTATATACCTTATAACCAAAAAAACAAGTAAGCTCAATTTCTATGTCTCTATTGAACTTTTTATAGAAGTAAAAACTTAAAAAATAATGAAACCCTATATCGCGCAAATCGTATATAAATAACTTTTATATTTTAGATCTTAAGGTAACTAAAACAGCAATAAAAAATAACTGTGGTGTATTATGTTATTCACTCAAACATAAAACGGCATCCCTATGGGAAAGTGTTCCGCAATGGCTGTTGTGTTAATAGACAAACTGAGAAAAAAAATATTCAAGAGCACTCGTTACAGTGATCACAGCCGTATAATCAAAAATTATGCCACATATAAATATGGCATTTGAGATAGATTGATGAAAAAAAAAATCAATTTGAGATATTAATAAATTTACGTTTTTCAACAATATAATAATACATTTCCACTTAATTTTTGCTGAAAAAGGAAAGGGTTTAATTTAAGTTAATTATGGAAAATTTATTCAAATTGATATGCTTGACAGACGGATTAGCGATCGCAGAACCAGGCATCACGTCTTAATGTGGGCGTCTACGACTATTTCATCCACCAGGACGGCACCACATCTAATGAGGCAAAATACCGTTACAGCCTGTTAAAGTCTACTGCTAAACATAAATACCTTCCTCCATAGATTGCTTCATATAGAGAATATTTTCCACAGTTTACATGCTTGATAAGCGGATTAACAACAGCAGTTTTTTTGGTTATAGTCATTATTAGAAAAACGCTACTTCCTATCTTTTAATTTGTTTTCCTATTACCCCTCCCCCCAATTCTTACGACATCCACGGAACGATACAATATTTCACCATATTTGAAAGATTTCATAGCCGTAGAAACGTTGAAATTGTTAGAAAACTGTAAAATATTTGTTTCTAAAATTTATTGCATTATATTAAGAAATTAATAGACAGATTGGTGTAAAAGGAGGATAGGTGTAGCTAGATTTGTGATATTAATGATGATGATGGTTTCCCTTATGT